GATAGGTGGGTGGATGGATAGATGGATGGGTGGATGGAAGAATGGATGGATGGATGGATGAATGGATAATAGATGGATGGAAGAATGGATGGATGGAAGAATGGATGGATGGATGGATGGTAGGTGGATGGAAGAATGGATGGATGGGGAAGAATGGATAGGTATATGGACAGTTGGATGGGTGGGTGGATGGATGGGTAGGTAGATGAATAGATGGGTGGGTGGATGGATGGATGGATGAGTGGAAGAAAGAATGGATGGGGGTAGATGGAGGGATAGAAGAATGGATAGTGGGAGGGTGGGTAGATGGATGGATGGATTGATGGATAGATGGGTGGGTGGATGGGTGGATGGATGGATGGATGGAAGACTGGTTGGGGAAGAATGGAGGGATGGATGGATGTAGGGAGGGATGAAAGAATGAAGGGATGGACTGATGGATGGATGAACAGATGCATGGATAAGTGAATGGACCATTTTTTTAAGCATTTATCATGTGCCGGACCTTGTGCAAGCACTGAAGGTATCAGTACGAACAAAAAAAAAGTCTCTGCCCTCAAGGAGCTTTCGCTCTAAATGGGGGAAGACAGCACATAGAGGGGAGCTGGTGTGTTCATGTAAGAGAGAAATTAAGGGAGAGCTCAGGAATTTATAGGTACAGCCGTGCTGGACCTCGCCCTTCACAGGGCCCAGAGTAAAGACCCAATCCATCAAGTCCTGTGGCTGTGGACTTTGCCAGGGTCACTCCTCTTCTGGATGTCCTGGGGCCGCCTCTGATGGGCACTTCACCTGCTTAATCTCTTCCCCTCCCCCCAAGCAGATCCGGTGTCTGTGATGGGGGTTGCTTGGCACCAGCTGCCCCCTCCATGTGCTGACTTCTCAGAATTCTCTGCTTTTGCAAAAATATTTTTCAGCGCCTACAAACTACTGATAAGGGGAACAGCGTGCTGTAGTGACAAGAGCCCTGGATTAAGCATCCAAGGCCCTGGGTTCAGATCCTAGTGCTGACTTTTATTAGCTGGGTGACTCTCCCAACCCGTGTCTTGCTGGCGCTGGGAGTGGGCCTCTCCTGGTCTCAGTCTTACTGTCCTAATTAAACATTTCCAGCAGATTCCAGCCTCCTAACAGTCAAAACCCTCGCCGAGAAGGGAATTGGGCTGCCTTGGTAGGGAGGTAGGGAGTTCCCTGTCACAAGAGGTCGTCAGGCAGAAGCTGGACCGAGGGCGGCTGCTTGTCCAGGAGATCCTGTTGGGGTGTGGCTTGGCTCTTCCAACGCTCATTTACTGGGGCTGAGAGCAAAGGAGAGTAGGCGAGTGTGTCAGGATTTGAATGCAGGTCCTGTGACACCTGGCCGGCCCTCTTCTGTCTGCCCTCAGGGTGTGCCTGTAGGAGGTGTGCAGGGGCACTCCTGGGGAAAGGGCAGGTACTGGGCAAGGAGTCATGCCTGCCACAAGCCTGAGCAAGTGCTCGTGAGCCTCGGAGTAGCACTGCCACATTTCGGGGATGCCGTGGCTGTCTCCGGGGATGTCTCCGGTGTCGGGTGGGGGCTTTGTTTCTTTATCCCCTTCTGATTCCCATGAAGCCGCTCGGTCCTCTGCCTCGGGGCCACGCGGGGAAGCCGCTTTCTGCCCTGTGCTGTCTGGGGTCCGAGCATCCACACTGGCTTGTCCATCCCTTGGCAGTTGGCCAGATGCTGCCGCGGTGGCCCAGCTCTGTCCCGGGCACTGCCCTGCTCAGGAGCGTGCCTATCACTGACCCCTGGCTTGCGGCCAGACAGGGAGGCCCCCCTCCCTCTTCTCCCTCCTCCTCCTCCAGCTTCCTTGGGTCAAATTTCTTAGATCCTAGGGCCTGGCACACAGCAGGCGCATAATAAAAGTCTGCCAAATCAAACCGTTGCTCAGGTGCTGGCTGGCCGAGCAAAAGAGACAAGATTTGCTGACTATGCGGTGGGTGGGAGTGAGTCTTGATGACTTGAGGTGGGGAGGCCGCAGGGCCACGAATGGGTGGGGGGGGGCCCTCCTGGGGTGGGGGGGCCCTCGGGTGTTGCCATGGTGACCCCCCTCTCTTGGTCTCCTTCCAGTTACCCATACAGTGAAGACTCGAGCCAAGGAAGGCAATACATGAATACCCGATGTCCGGCATGGTGCGACCGTATCCTCATGTCCCCGTCAGCCAAGGAGCTCATCCTGAGAGTGAGTCCCCAGATCCTGGGGCGGGGCTGGGCAGGGCTGGGATGGGCCGGGGGCATGCACACACACACACACACACACACACACAGATACCTATACACACTAACACTTAGACACATGCATGCACACACACACAATCCCTACCCTCACACATAGCACACACACAAACACACTTCACACTCATACTTACACACACTTGCAGATATCTATACACACTAACACTTAGACACATGCATGCACACACACACCCCACCCTCACACACATAGACACGCACACACACACACAAAAATACCTCACATTCATACTTACACACATAGACACTCACACAGATACCTATATACACTAACACTTAGACACACGCATGCACACACATACACCCCACCCTCACAGACATGCACACACACAAACACACCTCACACTCATATTTACACACATAGACACTCACGCAGATACATTAACACTCAGACACACACCTCACACTTATACTTACACACACATAGACACTGTATAGATACCTATACACACTAACACTCAGACACACACACATACACTATACACCCATGCACACACACACACCCACACACGCACAGACCCCACTGTGTCACTGTGGGTGATCAGCCCCCTCCTTCAATGGGAGCTCCTGAGTGCGGGCCAGGGTCTCCCCCGAGTTGGGAGCCCCGGGCACCCCTGCCTGGCGCAGTTTGCTCAGTGAGCCAATGACTGGTGTTGGTCAGTGGGCATTTGGGAGGTGAGGGGATCTCAAAGCTCAGAGCCATCTCCTGGCAGGGAAAACACCCGAGGGCCGACGGGAGACCCAGCCGTCCTGGTAGGGCTGCAGGCCCTGGAGTCCCACAGGGAGGAGGCTGCTGGCGCCCCTTCTCTAGTTTCCTCCGATCTCTTCTGATCTGCTCTCAAACAAGAAGCCCGTGAATGCTGTGAAGCTGCAGCTCGAGCCAGCAGCAGGATTTGGGGCCCCAATCTGGCCTGCGTTTGAGGCCAGGGTCTTCACCAACTCCCTCGGGAGCCCTGTGCACCTCCTGGGAGCCCTAACTTCCTCATCTGTAGAATAGGGGAAGAGGCCAATCCTGTCCCTGCCTGTGACGACCCATGTGACCTTGGGCGAGTCATTTCCCCAATTTGTGCCTCAGTTTCCCCATGTGTGGTATGGTGTTCCTAACGATCCAAGCCTGGGGATCAGACAAGGGAGTGGTGGACATAAGTGCCATAGGAGAAGGGAAGGTGCAGCGTGCCTTTGGGCCTGAGCGTGTTCTCTGTCCGTCCGTCCATCAGTCTCCCTCTGTCTCTTCCTTTCTGCCCCTCCTCAAGTCCACAGTCCGTGGCTCAGACTGGGTGGCTGAGGAGGGGCCATGGCCTGCTCTTCTCTAAAGGTTGCCAATGAGTCATTCTTTGGTGCTAAGGAGTTTTTTCAACCAAAGCGTCATTTTTAGAAAATTGCCTGGTGATGGAATGCAGTGAATTCTAGGAAATGCCCAGGTTTCCTGCTCTCTGTCTGCCAGGATTGGTCAGGCCCCCACAGTAACCTGGAGGGAAATGTTTGGCGTGAGACCCTCCCCGAGAATCAATACTGGGATTGCTTTTGTCAGCTCCTACCTTGAAAAAATAATAATTAAAGACTTTAATTCATCACGGACAGAGCAGTCTGACATCCAGGCACTCAGTGAGCGGGAGAGTCTCAAAAAGCATGATTGAAAACATCTTCGATCAGCAGTGTCCTGGCTGTAGGCGGCCTGGGGGCCTCCAGAGTGCCCCTCCCCTGTTCGGAGCACGCATTCCAATCCCGCCCTGAGCCTTCCTCTCTCTGGGCCCCGGCATCGGTGTCTGACCAGTCTCAGAACTGGGGGAGAGGGCCTCCAGCAGCACGGTCCTAATCCCGGGCAGCCCCAGCTGTGCTGGGGCGGGGGAGGGGGCTGCTGTGCTCCAATTAGCCCACGGCACTACCTGGCACGTGGCTCCCCGTTACAGACTGTGCAGACACGGGGCCTCATCGATCATGCCACGCTCGGTTACCTCGCCATCATGTTACGTTCTGCTTCCTGAGCCCTAACACACCAAAGGTTGCCCGCTGCGCGGGAGCGGCGGCGATGCCTGAGAGCGCGCGGTAATGAATGCTCACTGGAGTGGCCGCCGTTGCTGCTGTGATTTGTTTATCTGTCGAAAGATTATGCAGTCGGAAATCCCCCCTCTCGCGCTGCCTTTGTAAATTATCAACTTGCTCTTGACGAATGGGTCCCCACTTCTGAGGGTGGCAGCGCTGTGGGCCCAGAGATTGGAAGGTGCTCGTGCGTCCCCTGCACAAGGTTCGCCTGTTCCACTCTGGGGCACCGTCGAGTAACCTTGACCTTCAGCTCTGAGACCGCATCAAAGATAATTCAGTTTTAACTCGATCGTCGTAAATGCTACTGTTTACATCGAGCCTGCCCAGCCAGACTTGAGTGATCACGCGTGTGACAGAGCTCGAATGTTTCCTCTCAAACCAAAGCATCCCGTGGCCGACGCATGAAAGACCGCCCCGACTCCAGCAGAGGCCGAATCGTGGGAGCCTGCGAGCCAGCCGCCAGCAAGCGCACCTTTCCAGATGTAATTAACGTGTACAAATTGCTTTGTGTAGCGGTATGAGAACTCCCTCGTTCCTGTTCTCGAAGAAGGCTCCGGCTTCATGCCACCGGTCGTCAAAATCAGATTAAATAGAGAAAATGACAAAAAGATGAGCCGCTTTGATTACACGAGTCAAGGCTTTCTCATCCATGAGAGAGGAAAACAAAATGTTTGAGAAGAAAGTTCAAACTTGGAGTTGTTTTTTTTTTTTTAATCAGAGTTTAGAATCCAGCTAAGGTGTGCTAGTCCTGCCTAGCTGAGCAATACCCCAGGCTCTCCAGCCCAGGCTGTGCGCCAGTGACCCTGGCCGGCCCCCCGGCCCCCACCCCGGTGACTCGGGCCCTGGCCGGCCCCCCCAGCCACACGTGAGGTCTGGACTAGGGTGGGCCTTACCACATCCGTAGCTCACGGCGAGCGGGAAGGAGCTGGGGGGACTGAAAGCAGGTGGTTAAGGGGCATCCGATGAGACCCAGACCAGATTGAGGTCCCCTGGGAGCAGCATGCACCTCTTGGACTACATGCACTCCCTGTACTTTCAGGGGGCATGGCCCAGGGACTTGGACTGAGTCCCCAGGACCCCAGAGCTGCCCCGAACCCTAGCCCAGAGGCCAGCTGGCAGGGGAGAGACCCTAAAGGTTGACCCAGCATTTTCTGTTGGCCATTCACATCCAGAAATCAGGTTTTGAAAACCGCTTTGACTGCTGTGTGAGGGAAGCCCCTGGATCTCTTGCTGGGGGCCCATACCCATCCAGGCCAGGGGCCGTGCATTTTTATTGAAGCCCCAACATGTTCAGGAGATTGAGGCAGGTAGAGTCCCATCCTCGGCGGGGGAATCGTCGTTCTCATGTTTGCTTCTGTTATCCATTCATTTATGAAGCTGCTGTTATGTGACGGGCCCTGGGCTCAACAGGTAGAGCAGACTCCCGCCTCTTGCCTGGCGCGCCCACTGGCCACACGGTAGAGATGTGCAGGGCAGAGTCCAGGCCAGAGACGGGGGCCCTGTGCAGAGGGGTGAGGCTGCCAGGCTGGGCTCTCAGGGGCCTTTCTTGGGAAGGCATTCCTTGGAGGTGTGATGTGGCCGCCGTCCGCCTGAGCACCAGCCTCGTTACAGAGGCTTTGGCGGTGGCCTGGTGGGCCCACCGTCTCTGGGATGCTGCTACCCCCGCCTGACTTACCCCTTCTCCCTTTTGTCTTCTCCTAGTCTGAAAACGATGAGAAGATTGTGACCTACGACAATATTGGGCCCAATGTCTGCATGGGAGATCACAAGGTATTTTAAGCTGCCACCTGGAAGGCAGATTGGGCGCCCGCCCCGGGATGGACACGGGCCATCCCTCCTTGCTCCGTGTACCTGAACTAAAACTCTCTTTAAGGCCCGAGGCTGCAGAAGCCAGGGGGTGGGGAGGTGGTGGTGGTGGGGGGAGGTGGGAATGTTCCCTAGACGGCAGACCAACCACACTAGAGCATTTTCTGGAGGATTTTTATTCCCTAACCCCCCCATATGAATTCACATATTATTTGAATTGTGTTTTTTTGGGTCCAGTTTCTGTATGACTCACAAGCAGCGTTAGGTCCAAGAGCTCTCTGTCCAGGCCCAGGACCCAAAAATCCCATACTGCAGGCCCCCAGCCCCTCGCCTGAGGTGCTGCCCCATGAAATGTCCCCTGGAGAGAAGCACACACCGCCCCCATCACTTGTATGAGTCCTGAGCTATGTAGAGCAGGGCCAGCGTGTTCTCCTCCCAAACCCAGCAGCAACGCTTTCCTTTTCTTAACAGCGTCTTTATGGGCAGCCCGTCTGTAACGTCTGTAACGCTGTCCGCTGCAGACAAGGGGGAGTTCATTAGAAGCCCCGTCTTTGCTCCCCTCGCATTATTGGTGTATTCATTGGGAAGTCTTAGGTGGGGCCTTCCTCTCTCTGGATGTGGCGATGAGACCTTTGTCACAGAACAGAAGACTGGTCCTTCCCAGGTGGTCCAATTAAACATTAACCACGCGGATCCCCTTGTCCCCAAAGCCTGGGGTGGTGACCCCTGCCCCGCCGATTGGCCGATTGACAGGCCCCTGCCCCGCTGGAATGGATTGAATTGGATGAGGTGGGCGGGAGGAGGGGAGGGATGGTGGCGGTGCCTGAGCAGGCTCGGCCAGCTCGCGGACAGCTCTGACGGCTTCTCCTCTTCTTCCTCCTCACCGCAGCCGGTGTTCCTGTCCTTCCGCATCGCTCCGGGGGCAGGTAAACCCAGTGCTCATTTGCACAAGTGTTGTGTCGTGCAGTGACGTGTTGGTAAATATCCCTTTCTTACCGTTCCCCTTTGCGATCCAGCCTTTCCTCCCGCGCGGCTCTGGGCTAACGAGTGCTCCTTCCATGCCAGGGAGAAGATGCCAGCGAAGCGAGAAGATCTTTCGGGAGACTGCCTTGTAGCCTGCCAGGAGGAGGAGGAGGAGAAGCAGTATGCTGAAACCCATTCTATTTAACAACTTATTGATAAACCAGTCCTGAGTGCCACATTTGTAGACTGCTGACCACACGCTGCTTCCGCACCAGGACGCTGTTCAAGGAGAGCCTCACATACCTCACTGTCTTGTATGTTCCTGTGACGTCAAGTAGAAATGTGGAATTTTTTAATAAGTCACAGTCCTGTTGCCAAAACGCTAATAGACTGCAGAAGTAGTCTGCCTTTTAGGTTTCACCATTTTCAACTCTTAAACGATTGTTGGCCGACGGAAAGAGGCTCCTTCTGCCTCCTGAGAGCCCGGGGGCGCAGCGGCGGGGGAGGGGGGGCTGTCCGCCGGACTGTGTAGATAGATAGCAATACTTAGCGATGGCGCGCTCTCGCCACCAGCTTAGGGTAGCTCATCCTCGTCCTTGACTCATTGGTGATTTTTACTGATAGGACTTGTGTTTCCCCAGTTTCATGTTATTTACTCTACTGCCATGGTCCATGGTTTTTTGAATCACACTGCAGCTGCTTTCCATTTTTATATATATATATAAATATATATAAATATATATACTTTTTAAGAATAATTTATAAATCTTACCAAAACCTATGCTAAGTAGACTTTCCAGTCTGAAGCCTGCCAGAGGCGTTCAGTCAGCCCCTCATGTTGGAGCCCGAGGTTGATTTAGTTCCTTCCATACCAGCCACCAGAACCTTTAGAACACACCCCGTGCAGCCCCGTGCCCCTTCCCCTGGCCACCCTCCTCTTTCTGTGCTCCTTAGGGATGGAAGGTGATGTGATAGCTAGGCTGGGGAATGGGTGTCCCCTTTCAGAACCTGGTGACCCATTCTAAACAGCCTTCTTTTGTCACTGTCTGTGGTGCCAAGTAGTCTGGCGACAACAGTCACATCCTGGAAGAAATAAAGCAACCTCATCTGCTTCAGGTAGAAACTGCTTCTCACTGTTTTAGGAACCCCCCTGTCCCCACCCAGGCAAGCCACTCTGGACAGAGCTCTCCTCCGCCCACCCCCTCGGGCCCCCACCTCAGCTCGGTACAGCATTAAAAGGTGATCAGTGAGGCTGTTGACGAAACACAGGCGTGGGTTTTATCGACTCCATTTAGACACTACAGAGTTCACGGACTGGGTGAGGGCATTCCGCGGACGCCGGAGGGGCCGTAAATCACTACGATGTTGGTGTGTCTGTGTCCGCTTGCAGGATTTGTTCTGTTGCTAGCACCACCGGATTTGGGCGTGTGCGCCTCTGGAGGGAGAGAAATGCCGCGGCCTGATCCGTGGCCAGCGAGTGTGCTCTGCCGCAGTTTCAACGCGGGTAATTCTCTTGGGCGTGAATTTCACTTGTGAAATAACTTGGAAGGCCTTGAGAAATGAGAACTCTGTTCTCGAGCAATAAAAATGATCTTGGTGACTGTGTTTGTGTCCCTGTTTTGTTTTCCTGCCCACCCAGGAGGCCTGTTGGGCAGACCGTGCAGGGGGCTTTTCTCCCACCTCGGTTAAGAGCAGCAGAGATCTGGCCTCTTCGGCCCCAACAGCTGATTTCAGAGGGCTCCCCGATGCTGAGGTTGGGTGAGAATGTTGCGGGCAGCCTGTAGGAGGCACACAGATTTCTATGAAAGGGGCCATGTGCCCCAGGGTAGCCCGAGGTACTGGGGATGTGGCAAGGAGGGAAGAGGAGGAAGGTGAAACCGTGGAGACCTGTGTCATAGCCACTACCACGCTGGCCACGCTAGCCCAGCCAGGGAGCTCCGAGTACTTTGCAGACCCTTTCCCAGCAGCCCCATGTGGATCATTGGCAGGCATTACTGGACCCACTTCAGAGCACGTGGAACGGCCTCCTCTGGAACCCCTGAGCCCAGGTCTTACCCAGGGTCCTCCTGACCATCACCAATGGGAAATCCTCTCATGCCCCCAACCCAAATAAACCTTGGATTTGGAGGGAAGGAGACCGCTGGGCGTACAGAAACCCCTCGGTGTGCTGACAAAGAAGTAAACACAGACCTACTTTGGGCATTATTTCAATTACTCTCCTGAGTGGGTACATGTCTGTGTACCCTGCCTCCTTGCTCCTGATCTCCACCTGATTCCACAAAAACCCTGGAGATGTAAGACCGCCAGAGCAGTGCTATGGTGCTGCCCATGGTCTGCCAGCCAGTGAAGTCCAAGCATTCACGAGATGCTTTGGCCAAAATAACCATGCCCAGGAGACCAGAGCTTAACCAGGCTGGACCACAGATAATCAGCCAGTCACTGGGCCCGATCCAGTCTCCCCACTCCCTCCTGGAAGAGCTGCCGGGGCCACCTGTCACTGAGAGAGACAGCCTTTGAAGGCTCTTCAGGGTCACCTCCCTCCCTTCTCCCCACCTCCACGCCCCGCCAGCCTCTGCCCCCTCCTCAGAGCCAGCGTTCAGCCCCGCTCCCAGAAGCCAGGCTGATGGAGGACATGGGCAGGAGAGATCTGGGCTTCTCCCCGCTTCCCCAGGACTGACTCCTCACTGTTGACCCTTGCCCCTGCATGCAGGCTTGGGCTTCAGAGCTGAGCAGGCTGCCCCAGGGTATTCCAAAGGTAATGTGAGGGTGAGAGCCAGGGCTAATTTCTAAATTGATTCAGTGTGCGTGCACACGCGTGCGCGCACACAGTGATTAGCGAGCAGGCTAAAAGATGGGGTGTTTTCATCATCACATTGAAATAAATCAGCCCACGATGGGCTCCCGGACAGCCGCAGAAGTGGCTGTGGTGCCTGATACTCCACGTCCCCTGGGCCTGAGCCAGCTCCAGCCTTTAGGGGGTGGGGAGGAGCACATCATGCAGGGAGAGGATTCTGACAGTGGTTGGGGACCTTCAGGGTCAGGGAAGCCCAATCCGTCATCCCGGAGTTGATGGTAACACTGAGGCCCATGGACGTGAAGGGACTGGCCCAAGGTTAGACACAATGAAAGGGTGTCTGGCTCTCCAGACCACCAGGTGGAAGGTTCCCTTCCCATTAACTAGCCTGGGCGACCCTTCCCTGGAAAGTGATGTGCTCGAAGGCTGGCCCCCATATAAGTGAGCAAAAAAAGGGAGGAGAGGGGGCGGCTAGGTGGTGCAGTGGATAGAGCACCAGCCCTGGAGTCAGGAGGACCTGAGTTCAAATCTGGCCTCAGACACATAACACTCACTGCTGTGTGACTCTGGGCAAGTCACTTAACCCCAACTGCCTCACCAAAAACAAACAAAAATCACACCTAACAAAAGGGAGGAGGGGTTCTTTTGAAAAATCTTGTCTCTTTGACCTTCCCTTTCTAAAGTATAGAAAGTCATCGAAAATTGGCCTGCAAGAGAATTTGGAGCTTTTGCTCAGTCACTCCACCCCTCCATCCTTACCTGTGTATGAGCTGGGGTTTGTGAAGTATGAGCTGCCCCCCACACCCCCAGGAGAAATAATTTTGCCTCCCCCAGAAGCCCATCCCCTCCCCTCCTGCCTTTGTCGGGAAAGGATAGCCCTTTAAAACTATTACCTGGCACCGAAACCTGAGCTCAGTAGGCTGGATGGAGCGGCAGGAAAACCTGAGTCCCATCCTGCCTCTCTACTTCTGTGACTATGGAAGCCACGTTTTCCTTCGGAGCCTCACCTTCCTGGTCTGTGAAATGGAGACAAGGATGTTGGTGCCACCTGCCCCCAGAGGGGCTGAGAGGCTCCAATGAGACAGTGCACTGTGTTGAGCCCTCTTGGACGGGGCCCTGAGAACATCCCCTGTGCTGAGGATGGGCCCCATCCTGAGTATTCTGGGGGCCTCTGGGTGAGCAGGGCACAGGCAAGCAAAGCAGGGGCAATAGGAATGCTAGCTTGGCCCAGGCTTCAGACCAAGCCACCACCACGCTGGGCTGGAGAGGAGCTAGGAAACGGAGTGGGGAATCACAGCTGGAAAAATAAATGGGCAAGAGGTAAAATAGCAAACAGAACGGTGTCGCCCATCGGGGGCACCTGGGGTCTCGGGGACGACCTAGCAAAGGTGACCAGAGGCTTCTTCACCTGGAAGGCATCTGCCCGTCACAAGCCAAGACCTTGCCCTGCTGGCTCCTTCTGGGCCCCCTGGGGGGACCAGGCGGCTGGAGGGGAGCACCTGCTTACGGGCCCTGCTCACCTCTCTTGGTTCATGCGTGTCCTTGATGTCTTTTGTGCAAAACAAGTTATATAACTCATCAATAACACTTTGACAAGCTCAAATTTGAGGGACGGGTCGTCTGGTGATCTCCAAGCACTGACTGCCCACACCCCCCACTTTAAGTAATCCTTTTGTTAAACGAGTTCCATGCCTACTACCTTGGACGTAGGCACATGGGCCTTGGACACAGCCAACGCTTAGTAAAGGTTTGGTGAATCCAATTGATTAAGTTCCCTAATCAACATTAAATGAACATGCTCATATGTTGTTAGCTGTAGAGGGGAAGGGAAAAGGAGCCTCTCGCTGGCTTCTCACACCCACTCTGGGAGTTAGGCAATGCAGCAGATGAGGAAAGTGAGCCATGCCTCTCCTGTCATAGAGCCTTGGTGCTCAGAGCACAGGCAGCTCAGGCACTGAGTGATGGAGCAGTGCTAAGGGCGCTGTATCTCTGCCGGGCGTGGCTCCCAAGGGTGCTGGTAAGTTTCTTTGGATGGGTCCAGTGTTCTGACTTCATTCACATCTTCCCTCTAACGCCTGCAGCGCATCCGGAGATGAAAGACTAGCCAGTTTCTCCTCCTGCCCCCAACCTCCAGGGACTTGGGCCAGAGGGCAGCTCTGGACCTGGAGCTGGGAAATTGTCGTTCACTTGTTTCTGTTGTGTCCGACTCCTCGTGACCCCAGTTGGGGTTTTCTTGGCAGAGATCCTGGAGGGGTTTGCCATTTCCTTCCCCAGTTCATTTTACAGATGAGGAAACTGAAGCAAACAGGGGGAAGTGACTTGCCCAGGGTCACACAGCTCGGAAGTATCTGAGTCCAGATATGAACTCAGGAAGAGGACTTGAGGACTGGCAGTCTATCCACTGTGCCACCCAGCTGCCCATGGAGTCAGGAGGACCTGAGTTCAAGTGTGGCCTCAGACACTTTCTAGCTGTGTGATCTTGGACGAGTGAGTCACTTCGCCCTGTTTGCCTCAGTTCCTCATCCATAAAATGAACTGCGGAAGGAAATGGCAAACCACTCCAGGATCTTTGCCAAGAAAACCCCAGCTGGGGTCACGAGGAGTCAGACATGACCGAACAACAACAATTATGCCTGGACCACACCCACAGCTGTATGCTAGGTCTTCCTCAAGGACTCACCCAGAAGTGAGCACCGGGCAGACCCCCGAGGGCCTCCTGTGCTGGTCCTGAACTGGTCAGGAGGGCCAGACCGGCTACACATGGGATTATTCTACAAAAACAAAGAAGCCTGGGAGCAGAAAGGGGCCTTGGAGACCTGCTGGGACCTTCAACCCTGACCCCGCCCCCAAACACTGGACTCTGCCGAGGTCACACGGAGAAGTCCAATGAAAGCCCAGCAGCCTTCTGGGAACTTTGGACAGAGCAGAGGCTCATTCAGAACTACAAGACCTGGGATCCGATGGGATTCTTCTTTTCCTTTCACTTTAGTAGGGGGAGGGGAAGGAGCTAAGGACTAACTACTGTCCTTTGCAATGTTCTTCCATGCCAGAGGACAGCCCTCTGGAGCTGGGCTCCTACATTCAGGTTCGCTTGGCCTGTGGCCTTCCTGGGGAGCGTCCCTCCCACTAGCAGGACCCTTCTCTGCCACGTAGTAGCCCTGGTCTGGAACAGGCAGGCTTGGGTAAGAACGTCAGGATATCCTGAGGGATGCTGAGGGTAGGGAGGGGTGTTAGGTTAAATGGGGACCACAGAAGATGGAACCTGCCTGAACTCCTCAGTCTGGAGCAGCCCTGGGGCCGGGAGTGGGGAAAGAGACTCCCCTTATTTCAGAGCTCCAGGTGGGCAAGTGGCAAGCAGAGGCATCGAAGAGACAGGGAGAGGCCTCACCGTTGATTCCTCAGCAGCTTGAGGTGTCCCGTGACACAGGCTTAGAGGGGACCTTTCAGGGTGAGGGCCCTCCTCTCCCAACCACCCCCTTCATGAGCATCTCCAGGAGGCCAGGACGCCAGTCTGTGACCAGAGATGCCACGGCAGTCTGCAGAGTGTGGGTGGTCCACAGCGTCAGAGAGCACGTCCTCCCTCAACCTGAGCTGGGGGCTAGGGGCTGGAAACTATACACCAGGCAACCCCTCCGTCTGCTGCCCTGCTGAGGCCCTGGGGCTCTCTAGGGTTGAAAATCAGAGGCTGGGGTGGGCAGGAGGGATGCGTCCTGGCTCTTTCCCGGTGGCTTCTTTGGAAGGCTACTAGGGAGGAGCCAGAGAGAGCTCCAGTGAGAGCCTGGAGAAGGTGGCAGGGGGGATGCAGGTAGAGGTGGGAATGGGTGGAGGGTGTCGGTGGGGCCTAAGTGAGTCAATCATCGGACCTCAAAGCCCTCGGACTCCCCTTGCAAACCCAAGCGAACAAGAGGAAGAATAGGGCTCGTGGGGAGGAAGCAGGGAACCACCCCAGGGATCGAGGAGCGGGCCGGGAGAGGGGTAGGTAGGGGAACGGTGAGAGACTCTGCGGCCAGGGGAAGAGACGAAGGACCGACGGGTGGGGAGATACAAACACAGGCCCAAAGAGAGTGAAGGGAGGACCGAGGAACCTGACCACCGGAAGAAGAGAGACTAGCAGGAGGGCCGCCAGAAAGAGTACCTGGGCTCCCGGCTCTGGCCTGATCCTCTGGGCTTGGTACAAGGAGGATCCTGGCTAGGACTGGACTCGATGGGTCGAAAGAACTGGGGAGAGGCAGCCCACCTGCACCCAGATTTCAGGTGGACCGAGTACGCCCAGCCCGTAGCCCCTACAGGCCAGGAGCCTCCGGTATGAGGGAGGAGGGGGCCTCCCAGAGAGGTCCAGGAGCAGGGGTCTCTAGGGTCGCTATCCAGCTGCCAAGTCTGAGGGAGCCCAGCCCATGCTTGCCCGCTTCCCGGCCTTCGAGGAAGGCTCTCGGTCAGTCCCTCTTTCTCTATGGTTCTATTTGGGTCTCCCTGACTCTGCATTCTTGTATCGGGGGATTTCTGACTGCCGTCTGCCTGCCTGTTTGCCTGCCTGTCTGCCTGCCTGCCTGCCTGTCTGCCTGTCTGCCTGTCTGCCTGTCTGCCTGCCTGCCTGCCTGTCTGCCTGCCTGCGTGCCTGCCTGTCTGCCTGTCTGCCTGCCTGTCTGCCTGCCTGCCTGCCTACCTGCCTGCCTGCCTCTCTATGGTTCTATTTGGGTCTCCCTGACTCTGCATTCTTGTATCG